GCGATCGATGAGTTATATTACTAGTGAAGTTCAAGAGTTGGTGACTGGTGGTTTGTGGCAAGTGGTTGGTGCCGATTTGGTTGGGCCATATGACAGGAAAGGTGAGTCCGATCAAGACCACTATTTGTTGTTAGTTCAAGATCATGTGTCGGGGTTTACCTGCGCGAGGGTGTTGAAGGATAGTAAGACGAGAACGATTGCGTTAGGGTTGCATGCGATATTTTGTGAGCATGGAGCTCCGAGGGTCTTGATAACTGACAATGATAGAGCGAGGTTGATTCGGCGAGAGGTGAAGCTGACGTTGGCCAAGCATGGGGTTAAATACTATACTTTACCTGGGTATTCCCAGTATCTATCCTTTTGGGAGAGGGCGCATAAGGACTTAGAGGTCACGAAAGCGCTAAGGAGCTCAAAGGGTAAGGAAGCTACGGGTATTGAGGATTATTTGCTAGCAGTACGTGCCTATAATATGACCCCAAGGTTGTGGGCAAATGTGTGTCCTGCTGAGTTGCACTTCGTTTACGGTACTAGGGTACCAGGTGAGAGGGGTAGTCTCGATGGCGAAGTGAATTGGGAAGTTCTTAAGCTGAAATACTTGGATACTGACTTGGTTCAGTTTGTGCAAGATAACATACCGGTTCTAGAGGGTGCTAGAGATCAAGCTAGAGTGACGTTATCCGAGTATTTGGAGTTGTGGCGTATGAAGCAATCTAAGTATCTTGAGAGGTTAAATCAAGATAAGGATCGAAGGTATACCCCTGCGCTCTTCGATGTAGTGTTTATGTCGAAGGGGTCGGATTTAGTGATTGGTAACCATCTGGATACTAGGTGGTATGGTCCTGGTACAGTGACGAGTTTGAAAGGAAGTGCTCTAGTTGGGGTCACCCCGGGGATTGTTATCCCAGGGTTAGGTGGAGTTGCTGCAGATGCCCAAGGTTCGGCTGCTGAAGTCCCTGAAGTATATGGGGTAGAAGAGAGTTTCCCGTTGAGGAATTTAAAGCATGCGGGTGCATTGCAAAAGCTGATTTATGATCACCTTTTGAAGGGGAAGCGAGTCTATTGCGAGGCCGACGGTACTCTCAAATGGTTTGAATATAGCGAAGAGCAGCGAAGGTTGGATGGAGAGAGGGTCCGACAGCTGAGGACGCGGGCGGCAGTCGATAGTGGAGTTGTGAATTGGCCACCAGCTTTTGCTTCAGGGCAAGAAGGTGAGCCTTCGTTACCTCCGGGTGTATTCCCAGATGTGACGAATACTCCGGGTGAGGATTCACTGCCTCCGGGCGTTCGGACTGAGGTGCAATAGGAGAGAGAAGGGTCTCCTGAGGAGGGTTGTGATCTCGAGCGTTCGATTGACATCCCGAAGGTAAAGGATGAAGGGCTAAGGAAGGAGTTGGGTGTCTCTGAGGTTTTCAAGCTCGGACACTTCATGACGGTTCATCCGCCTAAGGGTTCTTTCGTGGTTTCCACGGCAATCCCTTATGTGGGTCTAGCCCAAGTATTAGGTGAAAAGGAAAGCTCTGAAGATTGCATTAAGTTGCAGCCGATGACTGTGGTGCATCGTGATCATGGTCTTGTGGTTGCTCCAGTTAGGGATAAGGGTGTCTTCACTACCACTCTAGACAAGTTGGTGTATGTGAAGCCCGAAGGTTCGATGTGGACGAGGCGACGCTGTGAAGATTTGGAGGAGTTGCTGAAGGTCGTCTTGAGCCGCGTCACTCTATAGTTTAAATAAGGTTGTCTTCTGACTATTGTGATGCGATGATAAACTGCTATTGTGATTATTAAGGTTTGAGATGTGAGGTTTTAACTGCTACTAGTTGAGGGTTATCCCTCCACAATTGTCAGTAGATTATCTATTATTGTTTGATTGTTTCCACCACGAACGTGCACACCGGGGGTGCTTGGGGTCTCTCTCTGCGTTGGAGATTGATCTGGTTTTCAGCCGTTTTGCCTAAGGCGTGCTGAACTTGCGCTCTTGCTATTTCTTGCGATTCCCTTATTTTCGGTCGCGCGGTTATTGTTGCGAGCCGTTTCATTGTTCCTTCATTGTTCTCGAAGGGAGTGTGAGTCGTATACCTACGTTGAGGAATTTTAGACGTCAGTAGAGTATTTGAGTGTTACGTCCTCAGCTCTGTATAGACTGGGTGACGCTCAGTAGTCT